CGCTCACAAAATGTTCTCTGCACACCCTTGAACTCTTCTACTGTCTAATATTATTTAATCACTTCTCACTTCTCCATGCCTGTTCTGTTTCTTGGGTCTACCATGGAGGCTGCACAAAAGCAGAGATGGTGGCTCTGCTGCATACCTTCTATCGCAGACAACCTGGAAGTTTATCATCTTGCTTTTTCCTTGTACCCCCACATGTCCTGGCATGAAAATGAAACTAATCCTTGTCAGCCGTGAGCCACCAACCACTGCCTTCGGACCCAGCCCTTTTCTTTCTTACTGAGCATGCTCATTGAGTTACTGAGAAAGCATGCCCCGGTGAAAGTCTGTGTCTCTAGCCATGTTACTGCTTTAGTCACAGCCATGATATCCATAGTCAGAGTACTTATAGTTACACAAAAGCTCTAGAATCTTCCTTTACAACTCTCCCTCCAACCTGAGCCCTGAAAGCCCACGAGTTTCTAACATGGTGGATTACAGACCCATCTGTGTAAATGACAGCATCACCCTCAAGAGCATTCTTAAAAAATCAAACAAGCTTGAACTTCTGCTTCTACAGCAGCCGGATTCTGTTGTCTGCATTTTCTGTCTAATTGGATGCAAATAAAAAAGGATGTGCAGCACTCTGAAGGCACTTGCACCCACTCCTTGCCGGGTTCTATGTCCTCAAGTGAACATACCTGTAAAATAATGTCCTCGGTTTGACCCATCAATCTGCTGCCTTTTGCCTTTTTAATTTCACTATGTAATGGATGTTGTGGGTCCGCCTTGACTGTGAGGTGGGCTCTGGAAATTTGTATTCTGTCTTCAATGGTGGGAAAATCAAGAAGGTAGCATGCGCTGTAGGCTTAGGTTAAAAAAAAAAAATCAAGGATGCCTCCTAGATCCATTGTGGTTTGTGACTTTTCGGTCACGCACAACTGTCTTGACTGTAGAAGGGTATTTTGATTAAGGGACTTATGACCTAAGTGTGCCCTTTTCACCGCATAGATACAAGTACTCAGGGCTAGACAAAGCTCACAAGGAAGAACAGATCGTGTGCTCCACTGAGCGAGAGAGACATCTGTAGCCCTGAGTCTCTCTGATCCTTGTATATTCCGGTGCAAACAACGAATGGGTTGCCATATTCACGAATAGTTCATCCATGTTGCTAAGGGCGCTAAGGACGATGACGTATACAGGTCGCAAAAACATCAAACAGTTAGCAGTTACACAGTATCTAACACACATTATCTTCCCTGCAACATCCAGAGGTGGAATACTTTGCCATCATGCGTTTGAACTAGAAAATGGTTAGTTTTTAAACTATGACAACCGATATGTGATCTTCTGGCCTTAAAATAATTAGGATAACTAATGCAGGCATACTGAAAGCAGAGCTTGTCTCAAGGGATGAGAATGCTGAAGAAGATGGCCAGAAATGTTTCCATAATTTCTTTTTCTCAGAGATATTGACATTGCATTAAGTTTTATTTAGAAAAAAAAACTTTTTTTTCTTTAGCAGTCCCTACATAAACATTTATAAATAATTCTTTAATGTCATTCTTCACCATAAGTCTGTATGTTTGCTTATAATGCTTATAATCTGTCAGTCTATATTCAATCTTATCATTTCCTTCAGGTCTGCCATCATAGGTTTTTTTTTTTTAAATTGCTGTTTCTTTTGATTATTTATAATACTGTGTTGTTTTGTGTAAAATCTCCCCTGAATTCATTGTTTGTTGGTACTTTGTATTTTAATTTTGTTGCGTGTGTATGTGAGATTCTATATATGAAACTACCACTACTGCCTGTATTTACCTCTTTTGCTGAGGGCTGGTGAGGGGGAATGTCTTTGAGCCTGATTCTACAAATTAATGTTATTATTCAGTGGCTTTTTGCCTGTTCACTCTTTCTGTGTTTCTCTGCCTCCTCTTTAGTTAGTGTTTGGGCCACTCTTTCACCATGGGAATAATTTTAGGATCTTATCACGAACTCGCCAGCACATCAAGAGTTCCCTCCCCTCCCATTCATGCTGCAGCTGGTTGCAAGGCCAGTCCTATGTTGTGGGGGTGTTTTGAAATGGCTTCGTTTGGCGCTCGCTAGCTGTATGTAATGTTTGTGGGAGGTTGTGTTTTTGTGAGTCTCTTTGAGGTGCTGCAGGTGTCTGTGTACAAATAAGAAGTATTGCAGAGGGAAGTGTTGAAGGTGCCACTGTTCATGAGTATTGAAACTGGGATGTTTTTGTATTTCTACATTTCTTGGTGTTACCTTTCCCCCAGAAAAAGAAGTCACTGCCAAGGAACATAGGAATATAAAAACATCACAGTTTTGATACTCATAAACTGCCTGGCAAGTAGCACAACGTGGAGAAAATCACACAAGTGAGCAGTGACAACACAAGAAAAGAGAGAACGGTTAAACCATTGAAAATAAGGAATACATGACACCCCCACAACATAAGGCAAGTTACATGAATGAGAAGGGAAGGAACTCTCACCATGTGGCCAGTGTGATAAGTACTAAATTTCCCCCTGTTTAGCTTGAAAACGGTTAATTTCCTCTATCTTTGTAAGCTTTTTGACTACTCCATTTATTCTTGCCACACTTAACCCCCAAATTATAATCTTATAATATTTAATTTCCCTGACTACTTCTGCTGTCTTTCTCAGTTCATACAGTTCTAACTTTCCAGTTCTGGAGATTTTCCTTGGTGAAAGGCAGTAAATCTGTGATCCACTTTTTGTAATAATTTCACATCTCATTTTGCTCCTCATTGCCAAGTCAACAAAACCTTGTTTATCATGGTCAAAGGGAATTAAATCTGTGAATTCCTTGCTACATTCGGTTTTAGTGATTAATTCAATTACTTGAAAATTTAATTTTACGATAATGAAAAGTAGTATGAACTATGTCAACTATTTGATGTAGCTGTGGACTCTACTCTTGCCTGTCTGCTCAAGCGTCTAGTGACTTGACTCCCTTAAATGTTTATAAAAACAGCCTAAGACTCTGCTTCTTCTTCTCTTCCTCTAGTTTCTTAGGGTAGAGTTTTCAAGGATTATAAGGTTGTATGCATCCCTTACGTCCTTGTTAGGACGTCCTTACGTCCTTGTTAGGACGTAATTTTTTTTATTTGAAGCCCCACTCTGGCTTTTGTCAGGGGCCGCAATATAGGCAGGTCATCAATATGGCCAATTGTCTGAACGCGGTTTCTGGGACCTCTCCACGGTGATCCTCATCCGCATGGTGGCACTTTATGTCATCGGGTGTTTATCGCTTGTGGGGTAGAAAGTCAGTCAGTCAGTCAGGATTATAAGGAGGCGGAAAAAAAAAGTCATTTTTTAAAGAGGTTTTTTTGGGAGGCAAAAGGGTTGAAGTCATTGTTAATTCACAGAGAGTGACAGTAGCCTGTGCCACCCACTGGGAGCTAGATCCTGAACTATTTCACCCCATAATTGTTTAATGTCAGTAATGGAAGATGATTATGATGATAGTTTTGACATCATGTTATTTCATGTATTACCACAATAATTATTACAAATTTATGTTTTACATCTTTCATTTTGTAGTTGTACACATGAGAAGTTCCAGATGGTATACAAGTAAACAATGGGGAAAAGAAAGCAAGGCGTCCCTCAGTATGCCAACCAGGCCAAGCGGCAGCAGCTTCAGTGGAACATGACTGATCAGTTTGGGAGTTCTGGATCACAGTCGCTCATTTATGATGGTGCGTTAAGAAATGAAAACTTGAATCAACCAGAATCAGCCTCAGACACCTCTTTATTGGCAACATCACTGGGCGAAAGCACATCTGGAACCTGCACTCCAGTCGATGCATTATGCGTAGATGCTTTCTACCAAAATCTGGCATCATGTCATTCTACATTAAGTCTTCACAATCCAGACTTTGTAGAAGCAAAAGAAAAAACACACCTGCTGGAATTTGGTCATTTTAAAGTAACTCTTGCAGCACATCAGCAGTTAATTCCCCTGCCAGATCAGCTGCCAGAGTTTAGAGAGTGTTGGTTGTACTTGGCAGATGTGGACAATCCCAGCATGTTGTACTTTGAAACTGAGGACAATAATGAGAATATTATTCAGCAGAAAAGGACCTTGTCTCGCCAGACAAAGTTTGGTGTCTTCTGGTTTGTGTCCCTCAACGTACCTGTTGCATTGCTGACTAATCTGAAGAGCAAATTATTCCTAGTAAGTTTAAAACAATAAAAAAAATTTATTCTTGGTAAATTTTGCTTTACCCATGCAGTTACTATTTAAAAAAAATGTTTTCCTTGTCTGTGCAGTTACTTTTGGTAAGTTTTTACCTGCACAATTATTGTAAGTCAAATTCGGTTACCAGGAAAAGGAAGAAAATTGCAGCCTTTTAATTTCAAAGTGTCAAAAATGCTTTTATTCTCTAGATGTTTATATAAACTTTGTACAATAACACATATTTTCTGTATCATGCATCTGTCATATTCAACATTACTATATATCCTTACGTCCTTTTTAGGACGTAATTTTTTGTTATGTGAAGCCCCACTCTGGCTTTTGCTAGGGGCCGCAATGTAGGCAGGCCATAAATATGGCCAATTGTCTGAACGCGGTTTCTGGGACCTCTCCACGGTGATCCTCATCCACATGGTGGCACTTTGTGTCATCTGGTGTTTATCGCTTGTGTGATGTCCTAGTGGGGTAGAAAGTCAGTCAAGTCAGTCATATTCAATATACAATGCATCTATGCATTCATGTGTTTACTTCTTGTAATATTTTGGACTATGTACTCAGTATTTATATGATGCCTTAATGACTCTTTAAGAATGAGATTTGATCAATTGAGCATGGTGCCTTATTTTGTTTACTTCGCCGTAGATGAACATTTGTTGCCCTTATCATCATTCCAGCTACTCTGCAGTGAGTTTGATACATATCGCAAGAGCTTCACTGTGACCATATTTGGCAAGGAAGGGCTTGTCTTGCAGCCTGTACACCCCAGCGAGGCAGTTCGTATAAAAATGCCACAGTTTGCATTGCAGAAATTGATGGAGTATTACTATGATGTTCAGCTTCCCTACAGTGAGTGTTTCTTTGTGTTCATTCTGTGTTTGCCATTTAGAAAGTTGGACTGCACTGTTCTGTCAAGCCTGTGGCTCAGTACATCTGATTTTGACAAGCATTGTTTCTTTCTTTAGTCTAACGCTGTCTCAAGTCTGCCAGTTGTATGGCTTTTTTTATCTGGTTCCTATTTCATGATGTTTTTTTCTTATTTTTTTTTTTTTGCCTACTCCTCCTGCTCCTGCTGCTCCTCATTCTCATTGCCAATCGTTTTCAGTTAAAAAAGTAGGTCACAGGCCTCTGTGATGTGGTTGCATGTCCTCCACTGACCGATAAAGCTCGGTAGGTAGTTAGGTAAATTGTACCCCACCAGGACATCACACACAAAGTGCCACCATGCAGATGAGGATCACCCCTGGAGAGGTCCCGGAAACCCTGTTCAGCCATATTTCAGGCCCGGCTATATTTAGGGCCCCCGTCAAAAGCCAGGTTGGGGCTTAAAAATTGCATCCCACAAGGGGATGACGAAATATATAAAAAGCTCGGTTTCTACCAGAATGCCAACTGGCCTGATCTTTCAGCTGCATGTAGAGAACATGACTGTTTACTGTTTTGTGGTGCCTGTGTAGGTAAAGTCCAGTCCTCAGTCTTGAATTCTTGCAAGTATGGCTGCAGTCTGTTGTGTCCAGTTTTGCAATATAAAAACAGTGGTCTATGAGGAAGTTGATTGGGTCTTCAGGATTGTGTTCTGGACTGGAAGTGTTCCAGTAGGTTCTAATGGCTGTCTTGATCTTTCTTTTATTTTCCTCATAAGTGCATTCTGTATCTGGCTGTTCTGTATTGCTCTCAGAATTTGCTGAGTAGTCTGCTGTTTCATTTCATATCTTGTCTGACATGAGAGAGACCATACTAATATCTATACTGCTGTCAGCTTAGCCCCTGGGGTCCTTGGACCACACATCCCTCTACCATTTAAAGGTGAAAACCAAGAGAGGGGGTTTAGATATTCAGTATGTCAACTTTATTATTTCTTCATCTCCACAACTGAGTAGTTAAGTTATTTATCTCATGCTCTGACAGTTACAGAGGCAGAGCCATAAAGGAAAAAAACACGCATTGTCATGTTAAACTTTCACAACAACAAAATCTTTACATGTCATCATATTGTGGTTGGTGGTCATGAATAAATCTGCGTTATGCTGATAAGACCATTTGAAGAAATGAGTTCCAAAGAACTACAGGAAGTGAAAGATACAGCCATAGTAGAAATTGAAAGATTAGGCCTCAACTTGAATAATAAGAAGACAGAAGTAATGGTAATGTTAAAAAAAAGAGTTATGTCTTAATGTATAATAAAAGTCACTGGTGTTTTTTTGGGACAAATACAGAATATTAGGTATCTAGATACAGAGATGACATCAAATTGAAAAAGTAAAAAAGAAAAGTAAAAGACCCTTTTCCATGCCTTTAGGCGTATAGGGCATATAAGGCATATAGGGCTAGACCTATATTTTTTATAGAACAATCAGCACAAGATGAAGGATGTGGTCAGCACCACGCCGGCCACCTTTACTTCCCAGAACTGCACCCGGTACCCACTCAAGGCTGGCGAGCATCTAGTCGCTCCGCCACGGCGACTCCCATCACAGACATGGAACAGAATAGGACAGGCAAAGAAACTGCATTTTATGAAAGATCATCTTATGTAATAAATCTCTGTCATAGGAGGTTAGAGAAAGAATTCTTGCATGCTATACTGAGTGAGCTTGAACATATGGCCGTGAATTCTGGACAAATAGTAAACAAGTCAAAGAATTTCTTGAAGCCTCAAAGATGTGGTTTTACAGAGGAATGCTTAAAATTCCTTAGCCAAAAAAAGAGTAGCCTGGAGGTTTTAAGAGCGAGAATCCCAAGACAACTTATCCGAAGTAGAAATCCTGAATAGTCCTCAATTCTTTTTACCATGAATTAGAGGGAAATTGGAACATATAGTGACACCTGGAAAGATAGGGGAAAGTGAGATAGATGAAGACAAAGGGAGAAAATCCTTGACAATCTTTTGTCATGGCATGGAGGGGTACCAGCACATGAATTGATACTTTTGGCGAGAATCGCAAGTTGTGGAGTGTCATGATTACCCACACCGGTTGGCAAGGCACTTGATCACAATGATATATCAACAGTGTTGTATGCTCTTAGCAGTTAGATGTTATTCTTAAGAAGGTGCAATATTTCCCTAGCAACTCCAGGGATTCCTAACTGTCATTTGGCATATTTGTAAATTTGACCAGCAGGTGGCATCTTATTTTTCATAGTACTGAGTTTCTCCCAAAATAAGAGTTTTATGTTAATTTTTACTTCCCCAAAAATGCTGTAGGACTTATTCACAGAGGATTTCTTATTTTTTTTTTTCAGGTACGAAAATCTACATTAATTCATGAACAAAACTCTACATTCATTCAGGCATAGTCATGTTGTCTTCTTCTGGAACATTATCATACTTCTCTAAATCCTTAATTCTGACCTAAATTTCTTGTGATTGCAATTCCTTCAGAGCCAGTGGCCCCAGTCCCTCATTATATCTGATAGTTTTAACCAGGGCTTATTAAAAGCGTCCTGAAAAATCATGGTACAGCTTGTTTTTGGGCTAGGTAATATTTTTGGGTCGGCTCTGTGGCTAAGTGAATCCGAACACTTCGTAATACCGGGATGCCAGGTTCGATCCCAGCTGCGGGCCACGCGCCTTGCATTGGTTTTGGCAGTGGTATCAAGAAAGCCGACCGTCCAGAAAGCAATGGCAAACTACTGGACGTAAATTTGCCTAGAGAAACCACACAACAGCCAGGGGCTGTTAGGGTTGGTTCTGCAACGTCCTGTAAAGGATACACAACTAACCTTAATATTTTTGGGGAAACAGGGTTTGGTTTAGGTTTAAACAACAGATCAGCATCATGGCACAAGAGTAGAAACCCTTAACTGCTTCCTTCTACTTCTAACGCAAGCTTGAATCAGAAGAATCTCAGCGCAGCGCATGAAATCCTTAGCACCGACGAGGATACTAAAATACTTTAGGTTGATTTGAAACTCAAAATTTTGCCTGGGCAGCGCCGTTTGGCTACTCTTTTCGATTTCCAACTGCCAGGGGATTTTTTACATATGCAGCAATACATACAGGCATCCGATCTTACTACCCAGAGACAAGGCGAAATTACTAGAAGTCCATTAAAAAAGTCCCAGCCTTCCCGGGGTCGGAACCAGGGTATAAGGCTTAGGATGTTTACAATGTGTATACATTGAAAGATTCTAAACATAGCAGAAAACCTCGAATAACCAAACAGGCCTGGTAATAAATTGTGCAAATTGTTTATATATAAAAATCATACTGGTTTGGATTTCCTTTTCTGCTTAGATTACGAGGGAAGAGAAAAAAGGACAGGGCATGATTTCTTCCACCTGTACGAATGTGTCATGTCCATACACAAAGACAGGCTATCCACAGACACTTCTTGGTTATCAGAAGTGGAACACATCCACCACGATTGTTTGAAGCCAGTCCTGCGTCATTATCAGAAGCAGAGTGTTGCCTGGATGCTGCGTCAGGAAAGGAGCATCACAGGGGGCAAAGAACATGATGGTTTGTTGTGTTGTTTTTGTTAGACATTTTGATATATTTAGAATATGTGTGTCTGACTTCTTCTTCTTGTCTTCCAGTTATGAGGGGAGAGTATTGAGGGGAGACGTAAGAATCTTCAGTGCTTTTTTTTTTTTTGGTGCGTGTTATTAGACACTGTGAGAATACCAGCACTTTTTTCAATAGAAAAAAAGCCCTAATATTCAAGAAAAAGTGCCTTTTTCACCATTAACTCGTCAGGCATATGGTCTTTTAATGCCTTTCTAGCCCCTAGTGTAGCACAGACCCTCAGCCAACTCACACCAAGTCATTCAGTCCTCGCTGTCACATGCAGCTCTCCAAATGACCTCCCCATCTTTTTAACTTTGCTCTCTAGCTCCCTTCTCCATATGTTTTTTGTTCTTCCCTTTTTTCTAAGCCCCTTTGGGTTCCAAATTAGACATTTTTGAAAATAAATGCCTTAGAAGAATACTAAATTTCAAATGGTCAGATTTCCGAACCAATACACAAATAAGGCAAGAATCCAGGCAAGAGTATGTGTCTAATTTTGTACGAAAACGCCGCTGGAACTATGTCGGCCACGCCCTTAGAATGGATAAATCAAGACTTCCTTACCAAGCCCTCATTTGGACACCACAGGCGAAAAGATCTCGTGGAAGACCAAGGGAAACCCTACGTAGAACTATCATCAGGGAAGGCTCACTCATGGGCCACTCAAACATTCAAGACCTACAACAGATTGCAACGAACAGCCATGCATGGAGAGTCATGACCTCTGCCCTATGTGCCCCACTCGACACAAGAGGAAAGACTAACTAACTAACTAACTTTGGGTTCCAGTGCAAAGACATACTAGTTATATTGTTCTTAACATGCTTCCTATCCAACGCAAGCTTTTTTTTTTCAACTCTTGGTTGAAACTGAAACTTGTTTAGTTCTCTCCAAAAGCTCTACATTGGTGATTCTTTCATACCATTTAGTCCCTATATTCTGCGCTGGCACCAGTTAATGAATGTTCATAGTTAATTAGTAATTGCCTGGGTTGTTCTCCATGTTTCTGTTCCATACAGCAGTACTGATTTTACATTAGAATTGAAAATTAAAAAATTTAGTATTTTAATTTTTTTGGACCTCACCAGTTTCCTAGTGCTATGGTTGCTCCTCTGTCATTTTTTGTTTGTAATTTAAAATCTCTGTCAGTTCCCCATCTTTATGTACATTACTGCCCAAATCAAATAGACTAGGACTTAAACCAATTATACAATTCATAAATAACAACAAATGAGATGGTTTGGCCATCTGACGAGAATGCCCTGGTACCAACTGCCACAGAAAGCCACGCTAAAGAAATATAATGAACACAGAGCAAGGGGAAGACCCCGCAAGATATGGAGTGACACCATCAGGAGCAACCTAACAGAAATAAAAACCAACTTGTACAATGCATTGGAAAAAGCGCACAAACAGACCTTACATCTTCCCCCAACACCTCGCTGAGGTAAAGGGTGGAAGAGAAGAAGAAGAACAGCCTAAATAGGTGTTCACCTCCACGTCTTGGAATGGGATACCATTAAGAGAAACTATTTGCCTAATTAATTCTCATTATCTTTGTCTTTCCCTTATGGATTTTCTGTCCTAGCTGTTGTGATCTCACATCAAGTATATTTTATTTATCTTGCATCTGATTCTGTGAGTGGGACAGAAGATAAATATTAGCGAAGTCCAGATCGTCAAACTGCTTTGTAGGGGTCCACTGAATTCTATTCTTGGTGTTAGCAGTTGTTGTCTTCATAATCCAGTCTATTGCCAGTAAAAATAGGAGAGGTGATGAAAGAGATTTCCTATCAGTGCTGTCAACAGTTTTTAAAGTCTATGAATCCAATGTAAAATGGTGATTTCACTTCAATGCTTTGCTCTGTTTATATACATAATGTGGCTATCTGGTCAGTACAGGATCTGTTTGGCTGAAAATCTGCCTGTCGATCTCTTAGCGTTTTATTAGTAGGGCCAATCTTCATTGTGGAGACTGTGTATAATTTCTTCAGAGCTCTGAATGGATGTGTGCTGTAAATTAATTGCCTCTGTTAAATCCTCAGATTTACATCCGCTTTATTGTGAGGTCAGATTCCGCAATGGATCTACATTTTATTACAACAAGCATGCAGGGAGGTACAAACTTCTTGTTGCTTTGTGTATGCTGGTTTATTTGTCTTATTTTATTAGTATTGTTGTTGTGCCACTTTGTAACCACTTAATAGATGTTTAGTAGTCAAAGCCAGGGATTAGGTGCTGGTTAGGCTGTGAAGTAAAGGTACTTGTGGGTACTCAGTGGGTGTAAAGGTTCTTGTGGGTACTCAGTGGGTGTAAAGGTACTAGTGGGTACTCAGTGGGTGTAAAGGTACTTGTGGGTACTCAGTGGGTGTAAAGGTACTAGTGGGTACTCAGTGGGTGTAAAGGTACTTGTGGATACTCAGTGGGTGTAAAGGTACTTGTGGGTACTCAGTGGGTGTAAAGGTACTAGTGGGTACTCAGTGGGTGTAAAGGTACTTGTGGGTACTCAGTGGGTGTAAAGGTACTAGTGGGTACTCAGTGGGTGTAAAGGTACTTGTGGATACTCAGTGGGTGTAAAGGTACTAGTGGGTACTCTGTGGGTGTAAAGGTACTTGTGGGTACTCAGTGGGTGTAAAGTTACTTGTGGGTACTCAGTGGGTGTAAAGGTACTTGTGGGTACTCAGTGGGTGTAAAGTTACTTGTGGGTACTCTGTGGGTGTAAAGGTACTTGTGGGTACTCAGTGGGTGTAAAGGTACTAGTGGGTACTCAGTGGGTGTAAAGGTACTTGTGGGTACTCAGTGGGTGTAAAGGTACTAGTGGGTACTCAGTGGGTGTAAAGGTACTTGTGGGTACTCAGTGGGTGTAAAGGTACTTGTGGGTACTCAGTGGGTGTAAAGTTACTTGTGGGTACTCAGTGGGTGTAAAGGTACTTGTGGGTACTCAGTGGGTTTAAAGGTACTTGTGGGTACTCTGTGGGTGTAAAGTTACTTGTGGGTACTCTGTGGGTGTAAAGGTGGGTTATGTGGTCAACATCACGCTGCGTACCAGCACTTAATTCTCTCAGTGATTGATTATGGACTGGGTTTGCTCACTGTCTCAAAAAGTGAGCTAGTAAAACTGGAGCGCATACAGATTGAAGCTGTAGGGGTGATCCTGGGATGTAAAAGAGAAACCCCCATTTGTGCATGCGATACATACTTGCATTGCTGCAGCCTAATTCATAACTCAAGACTAGCTGCAGTTAAAGAGCACCCTCTGTATGAAGCTTTGGATGCAGTTAAGTGTCAGAAGCTGAAAGGGAGAAAATTATGGTTGGCTTAAGCAGAAAACACAATAAAACAAGTATGCATGCTGGAGAACATTGGGCGAGGAGAGGAGTGGGTCAGAGCACCAGAGGAAAAGTCTGACCTATGTAGGGTCATGATCACATTAGGCAGGGAGTACAATGAGTGGCCAGCAGGGGCTACTGGGGTGGAAGTCCAACAGTTGATTCACGACAATTCTCGTCCTGATGATCTGATTGTCTACACAGATGTTCTGTATTGAGAGGGAAGAGAAGTGCCTGGGGTTTCGTAGCGAAAGCCAATGGAAAATCTTTAGTGTAGGACAGCCTGGCATATGATACCACAATTTCGAGAATGGAGCTGGAGGCGGTCACTGCAGCTTGCCGGTGGCTAGAGAACAAGCTACATACACGTGCTGATTTTGAAGAAGTACTGTATGTCATAAAACAGCTTAAAAAATATAAAGCAATTGGGGCTGATGAAATTGCTGCAATATATATATATATATACACAAAAAGGTAGTCACTCCTTACATTTAAAGATGTGTGAATTAATAAAGCTAGTTTGAAAGGTGAGTTGAGGTGGGTAATATCTGCAGCAATAAACTTCAAAGGCTTGGAATGCTGAAGAAGAAGAAGAAATTTGGAAGACAGAGAAATTACCTCATGAGTGGAAAGATTCATTATTAATACCCATTTTTAAGAAAGGAGACATAAATACATGTGTAAATTATAGAGGAATATCTACAAGCTGTAAGATACTGTCATTAAAATTCCATCAAAGATGCAAACAGTGAGGAATAGAGAGTGAGAAGCAACAACGAAATTCATAGTTTGTTTAAATCACCATTGATCACTGGCATCATAAAGGCTGATAGACTGAATTGGCTGGGGATTTTTAAGAGAATGTCAGATAACAAAGAGGTAAAAACTGTATACACAAGGGAGCTGAATAGTCATAAGACCACGAGTCAGACCACGAAGATATGGAGAGATAATATCCAGACAGACCTACAGACACTTGGTGTCACCAACTGAAAAGAGAAGACTAGCCAGAGAGATGAATTGATGCAAGTGATATCTGCAACAATGAACTTCAAGGGCTCAGAATGCTGAAGAAGAAGAAACAATTTTTTGGCAGTCATTGTTGCATCTTAATAAACTTGTGAGACGCCACTTTGCTAGATTTGCCTATGTTAACAAAAACAATATATATTTTCCAGGTCAAAGGGAGTGAAAGCAGTTAATTCTTTGATTTTTTGTATTTAGTAATGAAATTCCGTACTAGACCGCAGAAAAGTTAAACGTGTTGTGGGAGTTGTGATAGCAAAGGGTTAGTGCATTTGCCTTCTGAGACATTCATATGGGTTAAATCCATATAACTGGCAGAATTGTTTTAGATCAGTACATTCTGTGGTCAAACCACCATCATCATCATTACTTTCATCATTTTGATGTACCAGTCAAATGTCGCACTGCTCATCTGCCCTCCATGGTAAGCCCTGCCTGTAAGGACTATCACCTTGTTTATTTCCTTACACACCTGTATTCCTTGCCACAAAATTATACTAATTTATGTCACAATATGTCAACCAGCTGATTCCCCATAGTAAAACTTCTCAGGACTGTACCTGGTACCCATTTAAGGCTAGGTCAACTTGGGCGCCAAGGTCATTTAAAAAAAAAAAAACAGTCAGGGATTCCCTATAGTTACTCACTAAATGCAAAAGTAGCAATGAGTTAATGCTTTCACTCCCTTTGACCAATAAATACATGGTTTGAAGAATATTCCTTCATTCCATTCTATTCTGAGTTTACACAGCCTCATAAAAATTGGTACCAAATAATTTCTTTTTTAGAGGAATTTCTGGAAAGGAAATTTGTGGAGGAAGGGAATTGGTAACCACAACAACATTATTGCCTAGAATATCTGATCCTGACTGAACTGCAGTGACCCCTCTTTGCAGAAGCAGTTGCATTGTTGGGTGTGAAGTGTCAGATCCTCACATGTCAGAGGTTGATATAATCAGACAAACATTAGCATCATTTTGTGCCACATTATACAGCTGTAAGGAGAAATAAACAAGCTGATAGTCTTGCAGGCAGACAGGACTTACTGTGGAGGGCAGATGAGCAGTAGGCCAGGCTGATATATTGAATACTGTACAAGATTTAAGATGATGACATGAACCACAAGAGCAGACTGCAAGAGCTGCAAGTGAAAAGGGGTGAAATCTGATGGGGAAGCCAGATAAGAAGAGTAAGCCAACACAGAACTGGTGTCGTCAACTGCTACAGGCTGAAGGATATACTCAGTAGGGAATCTGAATACTTATGGGCTGAGTGGTTTGATGTGCGCTGAGGTAATCTGTCCCCTCTCAGATGTGATCAGATCACTTCTTTGTCACATCTTCTTTTAAGACAGTTCTGTAAATTGCCTAGCACCTATTTTTATGGAACTGGATCAGCTCCAGAACTGTAAGTGAACTAAAAGTAAAGGACCCTTGAGGCACAATTTACATATGTTGCTAGACTCATAATTGTTAAGACCAATCAACACTTTGTGAGTGATGTGGTCAACATCACAAAGCCACCTTTACTTCCCAGGACCTTACCTGATATCCATTTTAGGCTGGGTCAACCTGGAAGCTAAGATCAGTTGGGGAGGGGTGTGGGGGAGGATCCACCTCAATTTGGGTTTGAACACAAAACCTTCTGGCCAGCGGGGGAGGGTCTAACCACTGTCATACCGTGGCTGCCTCTAGGTTTGTTCTGATCTTTAAAAAAATGTTTACCATCTTTAACGGTCTAGAGACATTGTGGTATCTTTCTTTTAATAGCTTCTTTTCTTCTCTGAAATACAGTTTGATCAGAAACAGACCAAAAGCCATTCCTGCTTTGCCAGGTGGCATTCTGGCTGATGAAATGGGACTTGGCAAGACTGTTGAAGTGTTGTGCTGCATGCTGCTGCATCCAAGAGCAGATGTGGAACTCCCCGATGAGCTGCCAGTCATTGAAGATTTCCCAGACGACAGTAATGAAAACTCAAGGTCGCCAGACTTTATTGACAGTACAGTTGGTGGCGAGTCTCAGAAAAAGACTTTTGCAAATGTGGCAGATGATAAAAAAGAAGATGATAAATTGGTAGATAATAATGAGGCTTGTGATCAGATGGTAGAGAGTAGAGAGGTTTGTGGTGTGACTGATAAAGACAGTTATCTAATATCAGTCAGTAAAGAATTCACAGTGACATGCACTGAGCCTACAGAAACAAACAATATTTCAAAGGACGTCAAGACTGGAGTCTTTGATCCAACTTTTAATATAACACAGACAACAGACCAGTACAGTAATGAAGAGAGAAGAACCAATGCAGTTTCTGTTGTTTCTGAAAATCCTATTAAAACAGAGAAGTTATTACCTCAAGAGGTATATTCTGTACCAACATCATCATTTAGAAGCAGTCATGCTCAAGAGACCATCTTTCTTTCCAGTAAAGAAACCATTAATCTGACTGATGATGTCCCCGCTAAATTGACTGCACCAGTACCTCCTGAAGTCCCCAGCACCAATGGATACCGTACCAGAAATTCAGTACACACACCTGATAATTCTGTGAATTCAACTCTGAGAAGGCAGCGAACATCAACACTCAACACCACTTCCAAAACAAGTGGTAACAAAGTTATAATAAAAATCAATGCAAATAAAAAGGCCACAGTAGTGGTTGAAAGAAGTGGAAGTACGATTGCATTGGCATCAGAACCCTCACAAATTTCATCTGTTTTATATAATACCTCTAGCCTAAATATCACCTCCTTGCCTAGTTCGCAAATCACATCCAGTGCTGAAGCTGGCATTCCACAGCTCAATTCATCTTCATCGCCACAAATGATGTCATCACGCTCACCGTTTGAAAATTCTGCTGATGGGCATTCACTGCAGAGAAAGAAAGATAAAAGGAAATCTAAAGGCTATGTGGAATATGTCCCCATTACAGATGAGGATACTAGTTATTTCACTTCAAAACCTGTTGCCCAGAAGCAGTACTTTGAGTGCAATTGTGGCCAGCTGGACAGTGAGGAGGAGACTCGAAGGAAGGGGTTGAATACGGTCAAGTGTAATCTGTGTGGCATGGCCCAGCATGCTGAGTGCATGAACTATGACCTGAAGGATCCTTTCCGGGGCGATTATCGTTGTCCACACTGCCATGCTGTGTCAGTGAGTATTCTTCAAATTATTTCTCAAGTTGTAAAGAGCAATAATTTTATTTTACAAAGGGGTAGAATTCACAGTCTTACCACAAATCTTTAGACCCTTCAAAAATGCAAACAGCGGTGAACGGAAAGTGAGAAACAACAACAAAATTCATAATCTGTTTAGATTACCAGTAATTACTAGCATCATAAAGGCTAATAGACAGTAGTAGTTGGGGCATGTAGAGAGAATGGCAGATATAGAGAGACCAAAAAGGAAAAAACACAACTGCATACAGAAACAAGTTAAATGGGAGTAGACCATGAGGCAGACCAAGAATATCATGGAGAGGTAATATACAGGCAGACAACTTATGTTGGGAGTCACTAACTGGGAAGAAAAGGCTCATCATTGATGAAGAAGAAGAACCACATGACGTTAGAAAGCAAGGAAGCAAAGCAAAGTTACACTGTAACCTAATGTGCATGTTTTAAAAGGTAAATAAAGAGGATTACCGCCTATCTCATCCCAAAGAAAACTTGAGCTGCAGTTACAACTAATTGTGAACAAGTTTAAAATAGCTTTGAATGGGCTGGTTGATAACCTAAGCTCTGTTGGGGGTTGAAAGAAAGAAGAAAGTAGAAAGATGAACAAGCCACCATCTGTGCCATACTATAGATGTCAGTCTGTGAGTAGCTGTCTGTTCTCCCAGGCTCTTTCTGTGAATCTGCTAACAGTTGTTTTTGCCCCAATAATCTTGATATTGATTTCTTGGTCCATTGATAGTTTATTATTGACTTAGGGTCCTAGATATGTTAATTGGTCCACTGCCTCTACCTCTTTTCACATGCAATGCCTAAGAAGAATAGTTGGCATTAAGTGGCCAGACAAAGATCACAAACACAGAGGTATGGGAAAGGAAGGTATTACAACATTTTTCTCAGTGCTTAGTCTTTGAAGGTTCAGATGGCTGATTCACACATGGAGAATGGCAGAATCCCTAAGAACATCCGCGATGGTGAATTACAGATGGGTAGAAGGTGTCGAGGCTGCCCTCTACTACTTTATAAAGATGTGTGCAAGCGGGACATGAATGAGATAGGTATTGAGGTGAATTTGTGGGAACAAAATGCCATGGGCTGCGTTGCGTGGAGGGGCATTGATACCAGGAAGGGGATGGGATGAGAATAAGGGAAGAAACACTAAATACCAGTGATAGCAACAGCAGTCCTAAAATGCCTTGCTATAAAGGTGGAAGACTTTTTGTTAACACGAGCAGATCTTGCTGGTCACATTAACCGTCATCAGGGGCTGTTAGTCCATGCCTCCTCATAGCACAATATAACGCTATCGTCGGAAAGGTGCTCATTTATATCTCTAGCTTTTCACCGCCAGTAAAGTTTGCAGGTCTGTCACTGCAATGTTATGATAGCTGGAATGTTTGAGAAAAAAAAAAAGGCAGGGAGAAAGAAGATATTAGTTTAACAGCATATCATCATCAACATCATCATGTTATACCATTATATATCACATAGTAATCGCAGTCTAGTCCATTTTGTTCTGCCCTGTGCAGTCATGGATGGAATCTAGACAACAACATGTCCTCTCAGCAAAATTTGTCTTAGGGTTCATTTTGACATCCTCATTTCATCAGCCCACTTCTTCACCTGCGTGGTCTTGAGGCATGGTGACGCCACGAGTGCTAGAGGTTCCGGGCTCAATTCCCGGTAAGGGCTGGGATTTTTTCACGTGTACCTGGACTTCTAGTATTTCTTCTAGTCTCTGGTTAGTGAGATCGGACGCCCATCTGCATTGTTATGGTCGTAAAAAATCCCTTGGAAGGTAGAAATCAAAAAGAGTAGCCTAACGGCGCTGCCCGGGCAAAATTTGGAGTTGAAAATCTACCCAAAGTATTTCAGAATCCTCGCCAGTGCTACAGAGCCTGTGCACTGTGCTGAGCTTCTTTGTACTTGGACTTGAGTTAGAAGTAGAACGGAGCACTTATGGGTTACTACCTGTGTACCATGATGTTGATCCATTGTTTAAACTTAAAAATTCACCTGTTTAATGATTCTCTCCTATGTTAGTTTCTGTAACACAGTTGTTTTTTACATGGTTTGGTAGTTGGCACCAAATCCAGCCTTCCTCCTTTCTCCCCTCCGCCTTTTTCAGCTGGGCTTGGTGTTTATGAAATAGTCCATGTTACACGTGTATCCGTTCTCACGGGAAAAATGCATATACTCAGGATTTTCACTTTAAGATGTTTACTGATGTTGTGACATAGTTTATACAGTTTGAGCCTTTGTTCTCCAGTTGAGCTCTGAAGGACCAGATTGGGGAAAAAAAGAATATATCCATTGCCCCCCAACTATAGTTAAGAGTTTGCTGAAATGTGTTGGGCAGAAAGGTACTGATATCGCAGACTTAGCTGTAAACCACAATACAGCTGCCCATTTAAGGGTGAATGAAGTAGAAGAAGAAAACCTCTGCATTACTCAAATAGTTCTCATTATTTCCAATGAACAAGAAACAATCTCCACTGATGTTAGTTATTGAGCCTAGGTATTCAAACTTGTATCATTGTCAATGTTTATGTGTTAATTATTATGCAGTTAACAGAATAGAGGGAATTAAATGGTATGACAGAATAACTAATGTAGAACTTTGGGAGAGAACTAAGCAAGCTCCAGTGGACCAAGAGGTGAGGGAAAGATGCTGGCGTTGGATAGGACAAACACAGAGAAAACAGGAGAACAGCATAACTAGAGTGTCTTTGCATTGGAACCCACAGGGGCAGGAATAAAGGAAGGCCAAAAAACACATGGAGAAGAGAGCTAGAGAATGAAGTCAGAGGAATGGGGAGGACATGGGGAGAGCTCCATGCAATGGTGAAGAATAGAACGACTTGGCGTGAGTTGATTAAGGGCCTAAGCTCCATTGGGGGATAGAAAGGCAGAAGAAGAAGATGAAACAGTGTTTTATTTATCATTGCAGACTACTATCAAGTCAGGAGCCACACTGATCATATCCCCCTATTCAATATGCCATCAGTGGATAGAAGAGATTAGTAAACACATCAAAGAGAGGAGCATCAGGGTTTTTGTAAGTGTTTAACATTATTACAGAAGTTTGGTGTTGTGTGTCTGGCATTACTTCAGAAATGCAATGTTTTTGTCTAACAGTCCTGCAGAAATATACTATTTTTGTGTCTTTTGACTAATATTAACACAGAAGTGAACTGCTTTGGTTTAAGTAAGAGTGCTGCAGAAATTAAATGTTTGTTTGTTTGTCTTGTCTAGCATTACTACAGAAGTATACTTTTTGTGTAGCTGTCTAGCATTACTACAGAAGTATACTTTTTGTGTGTCTGGCTAGCGTTACTACAGAAGTATACTTTTTGTGTAGCTGTCTAGCATTACTACAGAAGTGTACTTTATGTGTGGCTGACTAGCGTTACTACAGAAGTATACTTTGTGTGTGTCTGGCTAGCGTTACTACAGAAGTATACTTTATGTGTGGCTGACTAGCGTTACTACAGAAGTATACTTTGTGTGTGTCTGGCGGCTAGCGTTACTACAGAAGTATACTTTATGTGTGGCTGTCTAGCGTTACTACAGAAGTATACTTTGTGTGTGTCTGGCTAGCGTTACTACAAAAGTGTACTTTTTATGTGTCTGGCTAAAAGTGCACTTTTGTGTGTGTTTGGCTAACATTACTATAGAAGTGTGTTGTTTTTTATGTTGACTAAAACTATTGCAGATAGTTACTGTTTAATACAACCTAACGTTACTACAGAAGTGCAGTGTTTTTACGAGTGTCTGACCAAAATTACAACAGAAGTGTGTGTGCGAGAGAGAGAGTGTTTGTATATGTGTCTGTCTGTCTGTCTCACATTACTGCTAACGTGCGCTCTCATTTTGTGTTTCTGGCTAACATTACTAGAGGTTTTAAGTTTTTTTTTTACTGTTTTGTTGAGTGTCTGACTGACTGACATTACTACAGAAGTGTGCTGTTCTCTCTGTGTGTGTGTGTATGCCCGTGCATCTGTGTGCATGCATGTGTGCGGGCACGTGATAGAGAGAGAGAGAGAGAGAGAGAGAGAGAGAGATATATTACTGCAGAAGTATGCTTTTTTTTTTATCTGACTAATACAGGTGTACTAATTTTGTGAATTGTCTGACTAACTCACAGCAGAAATGTATTGTTTTGGTGGTACATGTCTGAACAGCGCTACTATATAAATGTACTGTTTTTGTGTCTGACCAACCCTAGTAGAGAAGCATATTGTTTGTGTGTGTGTGTGTGTCTACCATTACTGCAAAAAGTGCACTTTGTGTGTGTGTGTGTGTGTGTGGGTGGGTGGGCGGGTGTGTGTGTGGGTGTGTGTGTGTGTGTGTGTATATATATATATCTGAGTAAAATTACTACAGAAGTGCACTGACCTTTTTTATAGTATTTGATGTGCCTATTCACAGATCTATACCGGTGTTTCCAAGCTGGGCTACATACAACCACAAACCTTAGCTCAACAAGATATTGTCATCACAACATACGATGTTCTCAGGAAAGAAGTAGACTATGTCAACCTTCCACATACAAATAGTAAGAATTGTTTTCTTCTGCAGCTGTTAAGTAGTATTGAAATGTGTTGAAAACAGAGGTCACCGCAATTAAGCTGATAGTGAAAAATACTAAAGCAGAGCATGGGAAGCAACCAAATAAGTCTCTTTTTTAACAGCTCTCATCACCTTATAAAACTGACATTTCTGTCACTGCCATCAAATATTGTTCTGGCAATCACATCACTTGTCTTGCTTTGGGCAATCACCTCAGTCATAATTCAGGTGTTCGCAACCCACCAGAGATCAGTGTTTAGCATTCTTTCAACTAACATACACTTAGCAACTTATACACACACACACACTCACTCACAACTTTCCTTTATTTATGATTCTTCGTCTTCTCTTCCAAAATTTACTTCAGCGAGGTGTTGGAGGAATATGTAAGGATCATTTGTGCTCTTTTTCCCAATGCATTGTACAGGTTGGTGTTCATGTCTGTTAGGTTGCTGATGATGATGTTGCTCCATCTCTTAATTATGATTTATTTATTAATTCACTTTATTTTCATTAAAAAAATTTTAATTTCTTTTCTGTGTTGATTACCTGTCCTTGTGATTGTATTACAGTGAAACCTTAATAACACAAACTCACAGAATAAAAAATAAAACGAAGCAATTCTTGTCAAGGCAGATGAAAGTTGTAAACTTATTAAAACAATTAGTCTTAGTTTGTCAGTGTTTGTTAGACATATTGTGGACTTGAGAACTTGGTAACAACTGGCTAGATTGATGGTAAAAAAGCATGAGGAAGGCAATGAGATAAATATCTTAATGACCTGGCAACGTGGGTGGGGCAAGACAAAAACATTGAGCTGATCCGTGATATTGCTGATCACGTGAGGTGGCAAAACATGACAGCCTACGCTTGCTGGCACGGCACATGAGGATGTGCTATTAGAAACAGCTCTTTTATTTATTTATAAATAATGTAGTGTATAAAATAAATTTTATTTCATTAAACCATTAGTATATCATAATTCTTTCTTCATATACATTGACTCTATTTGTATGTATTATTTTTAAATTATTTTGCATATTTTACAATCTACAGTTATATAAACACTTTCACGTATGTTCTTTTAATTCTGCTTAAGCATTTAAATTACAGTCTACCACTGGAATAATATTTAAATTCGACTTAAAAAATATTATTTTTGTTTTATGTTTGCTGTATTGTCACTTAAAATCCATTATGGATTAATTTTTTTTAAAAATATTTTCCCCGAAGGCATCATGTTGACCACACCACCCTTTGAGGGTGACCATTTGCCATGCTCAGTCTTGATTTCTAAAGCTGTGAGAACGCACAGGACTATTCAGTATGAGAAGGACAGTACCCTTCTTGGACACCTCCGACAGAAGAAATGCAGCAGAACCACCGCCTCTGCTTTTTTGCAGCTTCCATAGTGGCCCAAAGAAGTAGAACAGGCATGGAGAGCAAAGCGAGCAGCAGTTAAGCAATTACAGAAAGTGCGAAAAGCACCTCACAGGTTACAAGAGGATGTAGAGAAGCTAGAAAGAGATAGAAAAGAAAAAGAAGAAGAGTTCAAGGGTGTGCAGCAGATGCAAAAAAGGCTAAATGGGAACATTTTATGAGCGAAATTTTAGTGGATAGATCACTGGGTAGGTTCTGGAAACTTTACAGACAGATGCAAAGGAAGGATCGGCCAGTCACAACTGGCATTATATACACTGATAATGATAAGCCAGTGACAACAGACAAAGAGAAAGGGGAAGCTTTTTTGGAGAGATTTATATTTAAAACTGAGCATCAGAGCAGCTTCAGTATTTATTGCTGTTAAACTACAAATGTTTTTGGAAAAGGAAGAGCTCCTGCCAAAAGGTTTGGGTAGTTACCAGCCACGAAAAGATACCTGGTCAAATGCAGCTACTTTTGCTTTTGATGTTTATGAAGGGCTTCCAGAACAGACAGGAGACAGTTGTGGCAGCACTTGATCTTGAAGATGCCTACAATAGTGTCAGATACGATATTTTGATATCTGAACACATGGAGAATGGTGGTTTGTCTCTAGCTTGTGAACTGGATGGCAGCTGTCCTGCATTCACGTTGGTTGCCCTTGGCCTGGGTACATGGACCTCAGAACCATGTAATATCGCACCGGGACTACCCCAGGGTTCTGCAATTTCAATTCAGTATGTATACAAGCAAGATTGTAGAACTTGAAGCACTGGGTGTTAGAAGGGTATTGACATTTGCTGATGATGTTCTTGCTTATATGCAGGGCAGTAATTAGCAGCGGATAGCCCAAGAGCTACAGGCAACTGTAGACAAAGTGACTGACTGGTGTGCAGAAATGGGTGCTGTCATAACTCTCTGGACAATATATTTGTAAGAGCTAATATTCCAAGCCTCCCAATTAATAACATAACATCAAAAGAAAAAGCAAACTGAGGTACCTGGGTATCACTTTCGATAGAAGCATGTCCTATAGGGATCACGTAAAGGCAGTTGTGGTGAAATGCAAAAAAAGGGCTCAATGCTCTCAAGATTATGGTAGCAATGTCCGATCAGGTTTTTGACTTGTGTAGGGTTCTTATCACTTTGGGTCGTGAGTACAGGGACTGGCCAGCTGGTGATGCAGAATCAGAAGTTCAGCAAATGATTCGTGACAATTTCCACTCCAGTGATGTGGTTATCTATACAGATCACTCTGTGTTGAGAGGCAGACAAAGTGCATGGGAGTTTATAGCAAAGACAAATGGACGTCACTTAGTGCAACAAAGCCTGGCCACGGCCAGCTCCAGATTTAAAAGGCCGTACAGCTCAAACGGGAATTCCCGTTCTTGTGCAAGAATTGAGTCCCTCTGCGTCCACAGTTTGTATCGAGGAGATGTATACGCAAATTAAACTACAGTTTCATTAATTTTCGACATATTTTTTAGAGCTATACGTCATTTTTAAGGTAAATAAGTGTGCCGAATAAATATAACAATAAAGGCTCTTACAGACAAACAAAAATGCTTTTGCTACAGTCAACATGAACATAAACATCAATAACGTTTAGATGAAAATTAAAAGTTGTTCCAGCAAAAGTAAAGAAATATCAGTGCTAACTCTTTGATTCTAAGAGGGTATTGTTGCATCAGAGGAGGGGGGGGGGGGGGAGGGGTGACATTTGTACTTTATCAAATTTAGCGCATAAAAATACTGCTATGAAACAATTCACATATCGTACATAACATAAATATAAATAATTGATGGTTATTATTATTAGTAGACTACTACAACATATAATTATACTGTTATTTAATAATTAGTAAACAAGCACAATCAGTATGAAATTGATATATGCAATACTTTTTTCACCCAGAGTAGTTTTCTTAACAGTACTTATAGCACTACTATATATGTATCCTCAAGGTACAAACAGCACAAACAAATTTGTCCAGTTTCATCTTGTTGGATGAAATAAATTCCTTACCATTGCAAATTTTTTGGTAACAAATATGCATAGGAAGTGGATGAACAACCAGAAGTTTCCGCAAGAGTTTACAGCCAGTGTTCGCGAAGCAAAGCAAAAGCCAGTTTACAAAAATTAACATACCGTAGAACTGCAAATATGTAAAAGAAGTCGATGAACTACCAGAATTTTCCGCAAGAGTTTACAGCCAGTGTTCGCGAAGCAAAGCAAAAGCCAGTTTACAAAAATTAACAGACCGTAGAACTGCAAATATGCAAAAGAAGTGGATGAACTACCAGAAGTTTCCGCAAGAGTTTACAGCTAGTGTTTGCGAAGTAAAGCAAAAGCCAGTTTACAAAAATTAACAGACCCTAGAACTGCAAATATGCAAAAGAAGTGGATGAACTACCAGAAGTTTCCGCAAGAGTTTACAGCCAGTGTTCGCGAAGCATAAGTCAAATGGTTAAGGATTAATATTATTAGTGTACTGCTACAGCATATAATTATACTGTTAGTCAACAATTAGTAAAGAGGCAAAGAGTGACTTGCTGTGAGAGGTTAGTTAGTAAATTAAATATTATTTTCAACCACTTACCTAGAGCTCCGAAATATCTTGACACAATTTATCCACAGTGTGGTTGCAACATTTATGCATAGTCAATATGAAAGCAATAGTTTTCTTCAAACACAAGATAGTTTGCACCTGAGAACTGTCGATATTCTCCAGATATGGCTTCTAAATTACCTGTTTGTATTTTCCCTAAAAGTAAGATTTCTACATTTAAAGTAGAAAAGTAATAAACAGCCAGTTCCCAAAAATTCCAACTACTGACTAGAAACAGTGACACTGACACACACATCACAACACGACTGTCTTCCGTGAATTAAAATTAAAATTAAAATTGCTGTATATCCACTTCACAATATCCATTTGTAGATTTGTAAATACGAATACGTTTAGAACACAGGACTTTGTAAGCATATTAATCTGTCACACATTGCAACATGGAAACGCTCCCAGTAACCTAATTTCGAGGGGGACTCCTCCAAAATGTACCGTGATTCAGTTGTGAGGACTGAATAATTAGAGAAGGGCGTGGCCTGGCATATGATATCACAACGTCTAGTGTGAGAATGGAAGTAGAGACAGTCACTGCTGGCTTCAGCTGTCTTGAGAATCAGCTGTACACACATGTTGTGATTGTCACTGACTCACAGATCATGTTTAGAAAGGTGGATCAGGTATGCTGCATGTAGTTACCAGACAGTTACAAGTGCAATCGTTTGCTGCTGAAGATGGGAATGGAGCGCTTATGGTGGTCACCCGAGTGCTATGATGTTGATACTTAATTCAACATTCTTTTCAGGGCCGATTGATTTATAAAAATACAAGTCTAGCCTCATTGCCCAGAATGCAAATGGCAATCTTTACTTTACTTTACTTACTTTGGCTGTGGTGTTTTTTTAGCTGAGCTTTGACATTTGTTGTTTGTCTTATATATTTTATTTTTATTCAGATTTGGTAATATTATTTTTCCTCTGCTTATGTTTGGTCCATGCCATGTAATATTGGTAATCATGTCCACCCACAGTCTTCTGTCATGTGTACTGTCAGTATCTTCTGATACAGTTCTTTCATACCATGATGCTATACTGTTCATCTTCCTCCCTGTCTTCTTTTTTTGTCTTCTTCCCAGTTAAATTCTCATTTTCACGTTGTACTCTATTGTTTACTTCTCAGGACGTGCCCAAAGATAACTGCTTCACATACTTTCTATTTGTCCATGGTATTTTCATCATTTTTTTAGGAAATCATATAAACATATCTTCCACATATTTTGCCGCCACTCTGTGGACTGTCCATAATCTATCCCCAGACATCAGAAATTGCATTAAAAGACCCTTTTCATGCCAATAGCGCATTGGGCAAATGATGCTATATTTATAGACCTCGATGGTTCATGGAGTCGAAATCATATTAGAGCCCTTAACTTCTCAGAACTTTACCTGATACCAGTCTTAGGCAGATTCAAACCCACAGCTCCTAACTGCAACACCACCACAGCTCCCGCCGCCCCACACAGGATATGCTGTATTTAGCCTTAAAAGAACTCTATTAAGTGTCCTCAAATTACAAAGATAGATAATCTTGTTCTTCTTTAAAATATATTACTTCAGTTCTGCCTTTGATACATTATTCTATTTCAGCCTTTGTTTGATTGTAATTATATTACTTAAGTTTTACTCTTGGCACATTATTTCTTTTAAACCATTTGAAAGTTATTTTAATTCAGTCATTGGTATGTTATATCTTTTAAACCTTTGTGCTTTCTTAATTGCATTTTTTTTTTGCTTTTTGTACATTGTTTTTTTACCCTATGTCTTTTGTTAGTGTTCTTTAATGAAACATAAACTCGGTAGCTCTGTATTTTCTAACAGTATTTCCATTACAAAATGCCTATTTGTTAAGGTGAATCTGGCAGACGATTTCGACATCCAAAGCGCTTTTTAGCAACCCCATCACCAATGGTGGCTGTGGAATGGTGGCGGGTGAGTGAAGATTTTTTGGTTCTTTATTAATATCCTACTCCAGATGACGTCACTGGACAGTCCAACATTTTAGAGGGTGGTAAGACTGGGTTTCCTGGCTTTCTGATGCTTTTAACAACCCCAAAACATATAGAACTGGCCCTAACCCCCAACCCACCTACCTTCCACGAGAGAGTGCAACCTAGGTCCCTCTAATGCATGCAGCTTAGCTCCCATGACTGCATGCAGCTTATCTACCACCCCCTGAAATGTTAGACTGTCCCGTTAGCTGTGGATTTTCCCTGTTGGGTAAGATATTAATAAAGCATAAATTTTTTGAAAATTAAATTGTCTTCCTTCAGGATTGCAGTCTGTAGGATTAACAGCTGAAGGATGAGAATCAAATGGGTTCAAATCTTACAAGCCCTATTCAAACATATAACCTTATAGCACAGTTATATTGGGGCGGGCACCACAAAACAGTTACAAAGTAATCTGGAGTCCAGTGTGGGTGGGTCATGTGTTGGTGAGTGCAGACATAAGAAGCATTAACCAACATCCTAGCACTCAGTATATTCACATAAGTGCTCCATTTCCATCTTTTCTGCCAGCGCAGTTCCTGTTCTGATTGTATCTTTAGCAGATTGCTTGTATGTTCCTCTTTCCTTTCCTCTAAGTATTCAGTGTGGGTCAGATCCTGATTCACCATTCTCCTCAGACTCTGATGATCTGTTTGTGCTTCCTAACTGTTCACTCACTCCCGAAGGGAGGATGGCAGAATGCTGACTGAAAAAACCACAATTAATTTGTTTGTTGACAGATTTATTGGCCATGTTCTTTTCCCAGAATTGGAGACTCCACTGAGGGAAATAATGAGCTTTAATTAACACATTTGATGCACACTTATTAGCACACCCCTTAACGTACAGAACAAGAGAACAAGATGCAGTGCTTTAGCAATAATATTGCATATGTTCACTCAGTTTGTGAGGACTGACTACTTCCAGCAACAACAGATTACACTTTTTTATGCTGTTGTTGGTTTTGGCACCTTTAGTGGTTGCCTTATGCATTTACTACTTGTTCGCAATTTTGGATTTAATAAGGACTCATTGTTTGTTCGTAGTTCTTATATGAGACAATGAGGAGCTTTTTAAAAAAAAAACTAGTGCAGAACAGAACAATTACAGCTGGATTGTTTGCAGTGAAGCTGAAGCCTTGACTACTGACAGAACAAGAATCAGTGTATTTAAATTACAGGATTTGCAATTATGTTAAAAAGATATTAAGTCTTTTGTGCATTTGTGAGGCAGGAATTGAATACATGTTTAAGATATTCACACAGAAACTGAGAATGTTAAAACACTATTTGTATATCAGCTTTGAATTGTTGTTGTTGTAAATAATTAAACACTTATTAGTGCATATTTTATCTGCTGCAGATATGTCTAGATGAGGCTCAAATGGTGGAGTGTGTGACTACAAAGGTATAATAACATTATAATTTCTCAGTGCCTGTGTTTGTCTCTCTGTCTGCCCACATACATCTTCGTTGCTTCCTGTTTTGGTTCTTCAGGTAGTGAGGGAGATGTAAAGTTTTGCTTCTTACTGTTTGGTAATCTCAACTATAGCTCGTACTCTACATCCCTCTCCTCTTTTGATGTATGCCTTGTGTGCTTGTCTGTTTTTGTATTATTTTTTAATATTGTCAGTCTTTCTATTGACCATATTTATATTGACTGTCTTCATATTGCATATCTTCAAATTGAGTGTCATTGTATTGCTTGTCATTTGTATTGTCTGTCTTCATACTGTCTGTCTTCATAATGCCTGTCTTTGTATTGCCCGTCTTCACAATGCCTATCATTTTTACATTGTTTTCAAATCACCTATTTCCTAGTTTACATTTGTATGAGGCCTGGCTGTGCTGGCGAATTTGTGTGTGTGTCAGTGCTGGAGATTAAACTTGGGATTGAACTTTAACTCTATGAGGCAGACCCACAATCATGTATGCCACTCGGTTCCTTGTTTGAAATACTTTAAGTTTATGTTCTGAACAGTGTCATTTTTGTGTTTTCAACTTACAGACGGCAGAGATGGCTCTGAAACTAAAGGCAGTCAACAGATGGTGTGTGACTGGCACTCCTCTGATGCGAAGTGTTGAAGGTAAGAGCTAAAAATCATCATCACAACAGCCAGGCTTCCCATGAATGCTCCATCCTCATCTTAGCAGCCAGTCTGAGTTCCAAAACTAATGCTGCCAGTTGCAGTCTTTGTTGTATGTTCACCTTGCTTTACCTGTAAATGCTGAGTGTTTGCCAGATAATGTAGTCACCTCCCTTTCTTCTTTTTTTTTTGGTCCTCCCTGTCAGTGGTTATCAGATGAGAAAACCACAGACCTTTGTGAAGGCTGTGGTGGGAAGCATGTTCATCGGTGACCGGGTCACCCACTGGCTCACCAGTTGAAGACTTAGTTGACCCTACCCCCACCCCTTTAAAAAAAAAATGTATCTGCGGCCCACTACAAGAGTAAAGTAAAGATTCCTTATCTACGCCTTTAGGCATATAGGGCATGCAGGGCTAAACCTATATTTTTATAGGCCAATCGGCACAAGATGGGTGATTTGGTCAGCATCACGCCAGCCACCTTTACTTCCTGGGACTGCACCCGGTACCCACTCAAGGCTGGGTCTACCTGGGAGTCAAGGTCATTTGTGAAAAAAAAGTCCAGCTCCACCAGAGAGCGAACCCACGACCTTCCTATCCGCAGGGGAGCGTCTAGCTGCTATGCCACAGCGACTCCCACTGCAAGAGTGAACATTGTTTTACAGTGCACCTGACAGCTGACCAGACATGAAACAAGTATAAGTGTAGATGGAAATTTATTTGTCAAGTTCAGTGTCACAAAATTACAATTTTCAGCTAATAGGACTGTTAAAAAAGGTTAAAAAAGATCTGATTTATGTGGCATTATTTCTCCTATACGAAGTGCTGCAATAACATCCATTGTATTTATTTGGTTTTTAGTTAGTGACATGCCTAAGAAAGTCTTCTCACACAAGTGTGAAGTTCTTGAGATGTTGATCCTACAGACTGGAAAAGAAAAACCACCTGCCCTGTCTCGTTACATGACTAAGCAAAATTTGGGGGAGTTTTCCATGGCCCACCATTGGGCTGCGGCCCAAGGGTTGAGGTACACTGTTCTAGACACAGCGCTATGGTCCGATGTGTTTATAATTGTTGTGTTGGTTATTTTACTTATGCTTGGTTAATATAAATTTCCAAAGCCTGTGGTGCCATTTCAGTGGTTTGAGGCACATTTTTACTGTATTCTATAGTTGGGGATTCGAGCTGTACAATAGACATGGCTAATGAAGACAACTTGTTAGGGGTGTCCAGTTGGTCATTTGTCAAAGTACACTAATTCTTTAAGCAGGGCCCTTTCATCATTTGGAGGGACAGGTTCAATCCCCATTGTGGTAACTATAGCTTTCGATTTTGATGTTATCTAGTATTTCCTTCTACCTGTCAACTTCTTTCTGGGAATGACAGTCATTATGTGTCTGTTTGTTTATTATATGCACATCATCTATGGCAGTGATTCCTAAACTGTGCGCTGCGGTGCCCGAGGAGCCGCGATCTCTTCATAGGGGCGCCACGAAATTTTGTAAAAGCTTCATAATTAATTTAACTAAGACACGAATAGTCATACTTTTACTTAGGTTAGGGCACCGTGGAAAAATGTTAATTGAAAAAAAAAAGGCGTCGCGACCAACAAAAAAGTTTGGGAAACACTGATCTAGGGTAAACAACATTCAGTCTTATGCTGGATTGTGCTTACTTTAGTTTGCAGCATTCCAGTCTCTAATTCCAGATATTTATGGACTCCTGCTGTTCCTGGGGGTGGACCCTTTGCTGGTGCAGCAGTGGTTTCGGCTGTTGCTGTGGGAACCTTTCTGTTATGGTTTTCCAGCTGCCATGCACCATGCCTTGTCACAGGTTCTGTGGAGGACTGCCAAGAAAGATGTCATTGATCAGGTTAGTAAGTTACTGTATCTTTTTCTTCTCCTTTTTCTAATTGTGTTTCATCACACTTCTCTTTCATATCAGTTCCTCCCGCTCTTGCTGCTGCTGCTGCTTTTCTGCTTCCCCTCCTCTTCATTTTTCTCTTCCTCCTCCTCTCGTGCTCCTTCTCCTTCTGCTCTCCTCCTGTCACTCCTGCTCCTGTTATTATTTCTTCTCCTTCATGTTCTTCTCCCCCTTCTCCTCCTATTGTTTTCTATTTGTCATATATTTTGTCTTTGAACACAGTTGTGTATGGGTCCTAGGACTACATTGGTGGAAGGTGGGGGGGGGGGGAGGGAGGGGGAAGGACCCACAGCGCATCTAACAAGTGTGTTGTAAAAGGCAACTAATTAGGAATCTTTCCTATGAAGTCAAGAGTGCATCTTTCTGAAAGTTGAGGAACCAACAGTCTGCATATAAATAAGCCAAATATGTAAAACAGTTGAGCTTATAAAACTCAAGTTCTGGAACAAAACCATGGTCCAGATTGGATGAATAACCAGATCTTTCCATTCGAGTTTACAGCTGGTGAATGCTGAGAAAAGAAAAATTAAACAGAACCTCCACAGATGCTCAGATCATGCAGGATGTCATGTTTTGGATTTGGTCTTCAGGCATACAAAGTGGGAAAAAAAAGTGCTAATTTATGTTACATAGGAGGATAAGGGCAGAAGAAAAATGTCACTTTATGTCAAAGTGAGGAATACAGGGTCGAATGTGAATTATTAGTTTATGTTACATTAGAGGCTACAGGACACAAGATGAAGTTTCAATTTATGTCATTATGAGGCTACATAATACAAGGAGAATTGTCAATTTATTTTACACTAGAGAATATAGGGCAGAAGAAGAAGTGTCAGTTTAAGTTATAGTGAAGGAAACAGGGTAGAAGGAAAGTTTTTAGAGTATGTTGGCATTGGAGGTCACAGGACACAAGATGAAGTTTCAGTTTATGTTATAGTGAGAGATACAGGTAAAATGGAAAGTTTTTAGTACATGTTACAAGAAGATGAAGAAGAACAGGAAGAAGAAGAAGCAGGAGCAGCAAAAGTAACATCAGGATGAAGAGGAGGAGGAGAAGAAGAAGGTGTCAGTTTACGTTATATTTAACAAATGATACTGGGCACAGGAAGTTTTAATTAACGTTAAATTTGTCTACAGATTGACCTTCCTGGGCAAACAGAGGAAATCAACTGGCTGACATTTTCTCCAGTGGAGGAACACTTCTATCGCAGGCAGTATGAGCTGTACCTTCGGAATGCATACGCAGTGAGTAACCAGTTTTTTGTTAAAAGTCACTTGTTTGCTCATACACCCAGTGCTGCATGCTTTAACTCCTTCCATATATATAACACAAAAAGCCCCCTAGACAACAGGAAAAAAAAAAAGACAAATAGCTAAGAAATATAGCTCAGAAATACTGTTATATTTTGCACTACTCTACCCCTTGCATGTATTTAACTGTTTATTTCTCTATTCAAGACACTTATTACTTCAGTTGCGTCTCATTCAGTTGTTCATCAAAGAAGCAAAAAATGCGGAGGGTTAACCGGACTGCATGTGCTATATTTTTGCATTTGTCTTTCTTTTATTTTTGTCTAGTTTTGTTGTTGAAAGTTTATACCACCATCTGTCGCTTAGGCATTGCGGACGCGCTTCATAATGCCAGGGTGCTCCGCTTTGGTTTTGATAGTGGTACCGAGAGCTGACGATTCAGCAAGCAGTGGCAAACTACTGAACCTAAAATTTGCTTAGAAAAACTACTGCAGCCAAAAAATGCTGGGGTTGGTTTTGCAACATTCTGTAAAGGATAAGCCATTAACTTAAGTTTAAGTTTTTGTAATTCTCAAAAATCCAGTTTTATTCAGCTGCAGACAATTTGCCAGCAGACCGTTGTTGCATTGATTTCAGTAGTGATCTTCTTCTTCTTTCGTTCGCCTGAAATAAGTTATCTATATCAGCAGTTTTGTCTCTTGTATAAATTTCACTGTCGTTGTTAGTTCATTCAGTGGTCCATAGAGTTTACGTTCCACTGTTGTTCTTTCTGGCCTAAAGGTTTGCCTTAATGTGTCAAATTCGGTGCAGTCCTGGAGTACATGCTCTGCGGTCTGGGGCACATTTCCACAGGTGCACATGTCTGATACACCTATCTTGAATTTTGTGTACATGTGGTTACGTAATCGGTTGTGCCCTGTTCTGAGGCGGAAGATAATGACTTGTTCTGGTCTGTCCATAATAAAATAGTCGTCTTGTGCTGGGGCTGGTGGTTTCCTGATCGATTTAATGATTCTTTTCTTTTGGTGGTATGTGACTGGTACATCTGGCTGCTCTTTTTTTTCGCACCTTCCCCTGCCAGTTGATCAGCTTTCTCATTTCCAGGCACTCCACAATGAGACGGTATCCACTGCATTACGACTCTTCGCTGAACGCTGAGTTGTGTCAGCAGTGTTTGCAATTCTGGTAGTTTCCTAGACTGGAGTGCTTCAAGTACTGATTTAGCATCTGTAAGCATTACCACATACTGTGAGCCAAGGTTGGTATTTAGCAGTTTCTCTGTAGCTATCTTAATAGCCTGGGTTTCTGCATCGTAGTTATGGCAGTACTTCCCGGTTGGTACGCTGGACTTATCCCTAGTACCATCTGGGAATTCGATGTACACTCCAGCACCACCATTTCTAACTGCACTTTCTGCGGACCCATCTGTATAGACTCTGACCCATTGTTCTTGTGGGTATTCTTCATCAATATAACTGAGGGTGGCCATTTTGTGTTGTACACTATCTTGCTCTTTCTTGTCAAATATCCCTTTCACATTTGTCTGGATTTGTACCGTTAGTTTACATTTTTCTCTCCATGGGGGTTTGTTCCGGAATACTTTTTAGTGGGCAGCCAATTTCTGGAAGGTCAGGAGTTTGTCTACATATTCTTTTTGCTTGGTGTATAAAGCTGCTTCTTTTTAACCGTCCCAAGGCTAGGTTCTTAAATCTATTTTCCATCGGGTGATCTGGCATACTGAGGAACTTTTCAGCTTGTATTTGCAACTTTGTATCTCTGCGTTTTCTCAGTGCCTGTGTTTTCCCAGCTTTCTCCATTTCTAATATGGGGGTTGATTTCATCCCTCCTGTGATGACTCTGAGCGCTTGATTTTGCACTTTGTCTAACTCCTTTAATGTGGTACTAGATGCTGAACACCATGCAGTTGACCCATATTCCAAGTGTGGAAGTATGCTCTGCTTGTATACTTTATTGAGTATTTTCCCATCTGCTCCCCATGTGGTTCCACTTAGTTTTCTTAGTATTGCTGTCTTCCTCCTGGCTTTGGTTGCTGCCTTGTTGATATGTTTTCTCCATGTCAGCCTGTCATCAAATGTGACTCCTAGGTATGTGGGCTCTTTATCATCTCTCAGGGGTATTTCGTTTATTTTGATGGTGCCGGCTTTTTGCTTTGGGGAGAGGGTGAATAGTGTGGTGCTACATTTGTCTGTGTTGATGCTGACACACCATCTATTGGCCCATGCCTCAAGTGCATTTGTAGCCCGCTGTAGTGTTTTTGTGGTATTCGTTGCATGTTCATTGGTGCACCACAGTACCAGGTCGTCTGCATACATTGCCATTTTGATTCCATTTGGTATCTCAGCAACCAGATCGTTGATAAATAAAAGGAAAAGTGTGGGCGACAGGACACCACCTTGAGGGACGCCTTGTCGCAGTAGAACTTTTTTACTTTTAAAACCATCTACCTGTACCCGGGCTCTTCTGTTATGTAGATATGCTTTAATCCAATTGTACATTTTTCCATTTATTTTATAGTTTCTCAATTTCTTCAAAAGCCCCTCCTTCCAAACCTTATCAAAAGCTTTCCTTAAATCTATCCATGCCGCGAGTACCAGTTTCTTATCTTGAAATTTCAATAGTGATGTGGACAGTGGACTGTTCAGAAAGCAGTGGCAAATTACTAAAGGTAAAAATTACCGAGTAAAACCAGTAACAGCCAACAAATGCTAGGGTTGGTTTGCAATAACAGTTCATGCAAGTTAATTTTCTTAGATTTACACGTTCATTTAATAGTGGGAGTACTACAGAACACTAATGCTATAACCATTTGTTTAAAAAAATTATATATATATATATATATATATATATATATATATATATATATATATATATATATATATATATATATATATATATATATATATATATATATATATATATATATATATATGCAGTAGGTATCTTTATGTAGAAGTGGTTAAGCATCTTTGTTTTGCATTTTGAAGGTCACAGGTTTTTATAGACTGCACCTTGTGTTCTTCTTTTTTTTTAATTTGTGCATTGACCCTTAAAAGGGCAGTTGAAATATTGCGTCATGGTTTACAGCTGGTCTCGTGAGATATGCAACTTCTGGCCCGGCACTTCTGATGTAGGCAACCCCCAACCCCACCCTCCCTCTTTGATGCCCTGGAACCCACATTGGAAACCATTCAGTTCATGAATGAAGGTGTTGTATTTGAAGCATAAATGGTTATCTCCATGGTTAATTGTGATAAGCCCTTAGTGTATTGTCTTGTCTGTTCTCACTTTTCATCAACTCCTAACCTGTCTTGTCTGCATCTGTATGTGTAATAACCTCTTCACTTGACAATGCCCATATTTCACCAGATTGTCCAATGCTTTTTATTGTGTAGTTTAAAACTGTGACTCTCCAAACTAGGCAGCTGGTGTAAGGCAACTATGCAATGGATACCGTCCCACTCTGGAGTTTCTGGAAATGAAAGAGCTGATAAACTAGCTAAGTAAAGTGCAAATGAAGAACAACCTGACGTACCAGTCTCTTATCAACAAAAGAAGAAAATAATCAAATTTATCAGAAAGCCATCAAAACCGGCACAAGACGATTACCATTTTATGGACAGATCACAGCAAGTTATTATTCTACGGCTTAGAGCAGGACACAGTCGAGTTCGCTGCCACATGTACAGATAATTTAAAATCGGTGAATCAGCTAAATGCACATGTGGATTGGCACCTGAGACAACAGAACAGATCATGTCCTCCAAGACTGTCCCAAATACAACATGTCAAGGCAAAACCTTTGGCCAAGAGAAACATAGGTACAATTCAAAGTTTACGGGTTGCTGAGTGAATTACAAAAGACAGGGAAGTTCATACTAGGAATCACGGATCAAGCCATTGCTCATGTCTCATTCCATCTACATGGTCGAGTTATTAAATATTTATTTTTTTGCCTTTCCCTTGCTCTTCTCTTTTCCCAAGAATCTTGCCATAGTGTGTCATAGGTACTAAGTTTCCTCACTCAGCTTATACACAAGAATTCAGTTACTAATAGTGCCAGTTCTGCATTAGTTGACAAGACTTCTTGTGTGTCTGGTGTGCCTCTCATGCCTGGCTGATTTATACAGTATGTATGATATTGATTTGAGTGAGTGGGTTAACTAAATAATAGGATCTTCATGGTGAAATGGTCAAGTGGTTTGCTTGTGCTCTGTAAGTGTGGGGTAATTTTTTTTTTTACAACTTTGGTTCACAAGTGTATTTGTATGGTGGTCTCTAGGATCATCAATGGATCTACAGAGTTTTTTTTTTATGTGACATGCTCTCAGTAGCCTATCAGTATCTCTGCACCGCTGTTGTCAACATTTGTGTTTACTCTGTTCTTCTTAGACGTTCAGTTGTCATCCTTTCTGCTATATACTGTATATAGCATTTTGTTCCCACAAGTCCACCTCATTACCTGTATCCTTCATGTTCCGCTTGAACACATCTTTATATCTTAGTAGAGATTGGCCTCAACATCTTCTACCTGTCTTTAATTCACCATAGAGGATATCCTTATGGGCTCTGCCATCCTCCATTCTCCAGGTGTGACCCAGCCACCTGAGCCTTCTTAGAATGAGCATTGAGAATACTGTTGTTATGCCTGCTCTTTCCAGTACCCTAGTGTTAGTGATCTTGTCTTGCAACTTAATGCCTAGTATTCTTCTTGGGCATCACATGTGAAAGCTTTTAGCCGTTCTCCTGCTGCGAATATAAGTTGACCAATTTTCACTGCTATAAAGCAGAGTACTGAGTACTCATGTCTTTGGCAGAGTGAGTATATGGCGCTAGATCCATATTTTACAGCTAGTTAGCATGTAACAATGATATGGTCAACATCACAGCAGCTTTTGTTTCCTATGACATTTCCTGGGTGCCATTTTAGGCTGTCAACTTTGGAGCCCAGGTCATTGAACACTTTCACTGCTACA